TCTAAATATACATCGTGCTTTTCCCTGATGCTCTGGATATGTCGGATATTGAAACGTCCTTTAATAGAAAACATCAAACATGATATCTTCTATACGATCTTTATTTTGATGAAACCATCCCATAATATAACGGTGGCTCCAGCACAGTCCTCACTCATCCTGGCATCACTCAGCGTTAAGAGACTTCAGGGAAGCATCTGTCCCTCCACCCCACAGTTTACTACAGCAATACGATCACCAGGATGTTAACAACAGATGAAGACACACATGTATTCCTCCGGCTCCGATAAGCTGGACGCATTACTTTGAGAAATGTCTTAATATACTAATAACTAACGGCAATACAAATCTGGTCTTCAAACCCATTTACAGCTTTTCAAAAGGCAACCATTTTAGATTAAAAGACGGATGTTCACAAAGCATCAAGTATCTCGGGGTCTTGTTCTGGAGTGAGGGAACAATGGAGCGTGAGATGGGTCGGAGAATCGGAGCAGCGGGAGCGGTACTGCAGTATCTTTACCGCACCGTGGTGACGAAAAGGGAACTGAGCCAGAAGGCAAAGCTCTCTGTCTACCGGGTCATTTCCCTTCCTACCCTCACCTATGGTCATGAAGGATGGGTCATGACTGAAAGAACGAGATCGCGGGTACAAGCGGCCGAGATGGGTTTTCTCCGCAGGGTGGCTGGTGTCTCCCTTAGGGATAAGGTGAGAAGTTCAGTCATCCGGGAGGGACTCGGAGTTGAACCGCTCCTCCTTCGCGTCGAAAGGAGCCAGTTGAGGTGGTTCGGGCACCTAGTTAGGATGCCACCTGGGCGCCTCCCTAGGGAGGTGTTCCAGGCACGTCCAGCTGGGAGGAGACCAAGGGGTAGACCTAGAACCAGGTGGAGGGATTATATCTCTTCTCTGGCCTGGGAGCGCCTTGGGACCCCCCAGTCAGAGCTGGTTGATGTGGCCAGGGAAAAGAAAGTTTGGGGCTCTCTGCTGGAACTGCTACCTCCGCGACCCGACCACGGATAAGCGGGCGAGACGGTCTTGGAGCCTCCTTCGTAAACAAGACAGACACAAGCCAGACACGCATCCGGATACACCACTTTGTCTCTCCTAACAGCCCATTCGCATCACCGACAGTCGGCAAGTCATGGACTAACCTGAGACTACCCAGCTACTTCGTCATGAGAATTTTTGTGTCCCTTATTGCCAAACATGGGTGGCCGCCTCCTCTGGTCGTCGTTGCGAGCAATAAGTGGTGTAACTATTGATGAGTGTGTGTGTGCTGTGTGTGTGTGTGTGTGCTGTGGTGTGTGTGTGGTTGTGAACAGAAATAGTTTTTT